CATGGCCAACCGTGACAACACTCATGATGCTCGCAACTCTGATTTCCTCCCTGTCAGCAAGATTGATACTGATGGAGCAACCACCTCTCTTGAAGGCGACGTTCTCCGACAAAAGGACGAAGCCACCGCTTCTCCATCCCCCGTCCGTGCAGATCACAACGAGGTCCCACTCGTCTCGGAGCACCTTCCAGTTACAATTACACCCAGCACCGACCAGGCTATGGCTGCTCTCCTCGAGGTCCTCAACAAGACCAACCTCGTAATCCTCAATCAGAGCGCGAGGATTAGATCTTTAGAAGAATCCAGTCGTCCAAGATCCCCTCCGTCGAGGAGGGAACGTCAAAGACCATGGAGTCCTCCTACCTAGCGTGAAAGAAACATTCGAACACCTCCGAAACCAGAAGCCCAAACCGTCAGAAAGCACAACCACATCTCTCCTCGAAATAACCCTTCCTCGCAATCCAAGAGGACCAAAAGAGATCACTGAGCAGAGTCCCTACATTCGCCTCCGACCAGATCCAAGGGTCAGGCACGAACCCCGTCTCCCCGTCGAGATCGCCATTCTACCTGCAAACAGGACACCCGCTCCCCGTCTTGGTCCAGCAGCAGCAGCGACAATGAGCCTCGCGACTCGTTGTCGCAGGAGATTATGGCTATGCGCCTTCCTAAGGGATTGGAAAAACCCCATTCTCTAGGCACCTCCGATGGTACTACGGATCCCGACGAGCACATAAAAAATATCGATGCGCTACTCGACTACCACAACGTCCGGGGCGCCATCAAATGTAGGTTATTCCCAACCACACTCAGGAAAGGGGCAATGACCTAGTACAAAATACTCCCCGACGATTCCATCATTTCATGGAGGCAGCTGGGGAGAATGTTCTCCAGACACCTCATGGCCTCTCACCGTCACCCGAAGACCGAAGCTTCCCTTGAGGACATCATTCAAGGGAGGGACGAACCTTGCGAGCCTACATCAAAAGGTTCAATAAGGAGGCTATCCAGGTCTCCACGACAGATAACATGAAGAAGTTTTTGCTCGAGCGTGGGCTCCGTCCCCGCACGGAGTTTGCTAAAGCTGTAGGCATTCAGCCCCCAACAATGCTGGACATATTCCTCCTCAAAGCACAAAGGTACATCCAGTACAAGGAGAAGGAGGTCGCCGGTTCTGCCCGAGATTTGAGGCATCATGAGAACGCCCGATCCTCCAGGTCCGACGAGCCCTCGACATCTCGTCGAGAAGATAGAAGGCACGAAGACCGCCCCCGAGAGCCCCGGGACAACAAAGGGAACTCCGACCGGTTCCACAAGCATACTCCCCTGACAGTATCCCGGGAAAAGATCATTTTTGAATGTGCCAAATCAGAATTCTGGCAGACGGGAGTTCCATTCCCAAAGCAGATACCATCCAAAGTTGAAAGATTGTCGGTTCCCCAAGAGCCACGACCATATGATCGACGACTACATCCACTTGAAGGTTGCCACAAAGATACTCATCAGGGACGGACATTAGAAGTAATTTGCCAAACGAAAGGATGCTCTTCGGTAGGATACCCAGGAATCCAAGAAGGTCGAGGAAGAGGTGCCTTCCTTCGAAGAAACTAGTCTTTAGGTCGTTATGAGCATCTCGCGACCTGAAGATTTCTACATCCCCGAGGAACTCAGCGCCCCTCCATATTTTGCCACGCACAGCCCATGGGGGACTTTCCCCTCCGACATGGTCATCTTCGAATGGGGCTTCAATAAAGTCACGGTAGGGTCCGTCAAAAGAAAGTTAGAGCACCTTATCAACAACAGCTCGAACCAGAACTCCACCCTCGGTAAGGTTCAGGGAGAGTCTGTTTCCATCTGCTTTTATCATGAGGAGCTCCTCGGTGGAGCCCCTAACGCCAACATCCCTCTGATCGTGATGGCTTATATGGAAAATGTTGACGTTCGGTGAATCCTCGTCGACCTTGATATTATGTATTCCCAACTATTTTCTACCTTCCAGCAAGACGAATCACATCTGACACCCTATGTGGGCTCCAATCTGCAGGGTTTTAATGGGTCGGTGATGAAGCCCCAGGGTTACGTAGAGTTGATCATAACTTTCGGATCCGCCAAAACGGTCAAGTCAATCAAGGTTTAATTCCTGGTCATCGATTGTCCGTCGCTATACCATTGCATCTTCGGGCGGCCAACTCTGGCCGAATTGGTTGTTGTGCCTTCAATAGTGCACCTGAAGATGAAATATTATACTTTAATGGGTCTCGTGGAAACTTTGCACGGAGACATTGAAGCCGCAAGGAGATGTTTTGAGGAAGCCTTCAGGGGGCTGAACACCATCGCCGCAAGGCCAAAAACTCCCAACAAGTCTTCTTTGCCCAGCAGCACCAAAGAGACAAAGTTGTTGCCCCACATCGACTCCATCGACCTTGACAGTCGTTTCTCCGAAGACGACCAGAGGATCCAGAAGGCGAAAGGGAAAAATATCCAGCCATCTTCGAGCAGCCCCTCCACTTCTACCAGTAGTAGTGAAACTTGGCATCCGATGCGCCCAATTTCGGATGGAGAGTTCAAACTTATCTTGCTCGGCAATGACCCCCAGCGGGGAGTAAAGATTTGGACCGAAATCCCCAAACTTGCGAGGAAACAACTAAGAGCCTGCCTCCAAGAGAATGTAGATTTGTTCGCATGGAGCGCTGCAGAGATGTCTGGGCTAGACCCTAATGTGGCCTATCACCACCTCACTGTTGATCCCGTCGTTAGGGTTGTGGCTCAACGTAGCCGACGATAGTCTCTGGAGAAGACGAAGGCTTCCAAACAGGTTATAAAAGACCTCTTAAAGGCAAACTTTATCTCGGAAGCCAAGCACACCACTTGGCTGTCCAATCTTGTACTCGTGAAGAAAAATAATGGAAAATAGCGAATGTGCATTGACTATACCGATCTTAATAGGGTCTATCCTTAAGATGCGTATCCCCTTCCTAACATAGATAAACTAGTTAATAATTCTGCTGGTTTTAAATTGCTATCTTTCATGGACGCATATTCGGGTTATAACTAAATACCCATGGCAAAAAGCGACAAAAAGTACACAGCTTTTACTACAATGTAATGCCCTTTGGCTTGAAAAATGCTGGTGCGACCTACCAAAGAATGATGAACAAAGTCTTCAGAGGACAAATCAGGGATATGCTCGAAGTCTATATGGATGACATGATCGTTAAGTCCCACGAGGGATACAATCACACGCTCCACTTGAGGAAGGTCTTCGAGCAGGTCAGGAAGTACAAGATATGCTTTAATTTGGAGAAGTGCATGCTCCGGATGCGAGTGGGCAAGTTCCTCGATTTCTATCTAATCGAACGAGGAATCAAAGCTAACCCCGACAAGTGGAGAGCCTTCTCCGATCTTAGTTAAATTGTTGTTGATTGACGTAATTAGTTTTAAATGTTGTTCAAATTGTAGGTGCTTAAGGACCAATGACAAATTCTATTGGACTGCCTACAAAACTTTTCATCTTAGTTATTCCTTTTTTTTCAATAATCCTTTGTTTTAGTTTTGAAAATGGTTTTGTTATACAGGTTCCAAAAAATGTGGTTGTATATATAGTCATGTGATTGGTTCTAAAATATGGTTTTATGTTCAGAAATATGATTCCGTAAATGGTTCTGTAATACAGTGAAAACGACAGTACAAAAAAAAAAACTTAACCCATCGGAGTTTTCATAAAACCGAGGTAATAACATTAAGATATTACTTCGGTATTTACATAAAACCGAGGTAATAAAATTAGGTGAGGTTGGGGATCAAATCCACAACCTTTTAATTTCTAACATCAATTTTAGAATTACCGAGGTGATAAGTGATTGTTTTTCATGTCACTCTCCGTTACCTTGCTTGTGTAGCTAAGGTTAAATGCAATTTGCGTCTGACATTAAATGTGTTATTTGTAGTAGTATTCAGAGAGGCATCTCTGCAAGTTACACAGACATACATCTACATAATTTTTTTACCATTGACTTAAGACTTGATTCAGAAACGTATTGAATTGAGGTGCGCCCGAAGATGAATCTTTAGAATTTAAGATTATTATTATATTTTCACAAAGTATATTAATAATTTAAAAGATGCATTAAAAAATCTTCTAAATATTTGTCACGGTTAAATCCAAAAAAAAAAAAAAACTTTTATTTGATTTATCACACTTAAGCCATAGTTACATACACATAATTTTTGAAAACTTAAGACAATCAGATTTAAAGCTTATTAAAATTTTAAAATGACTTAGTATTTAGTTATTTGTTTTTACTTGAATAGATCTTATAATATTATTTTTACGTAATTCAAATATTTTTAGAAGTTAATCACTCAAGTCAAAGAGTATTATAATGAGCGATAAAGTCTTCTCTAAAAAAATCTATGAAAATGTGAGATGTAAAATTATGACCAAATATAGAAAATTTTGACCAATTGGACAAATTTTAACCGACTAATTTTATTTGAATAAGATCCTTTTCTTAAGGAAGATTGAATGGACCAAAAATAGCCAAAGAAAACAAAACGGTTATCCACTCAATATTCTCCTAAATATAGAACCACAATTTTCACATCTTGAATCGACCATTATATAAAGCATTCAAGTTCTTGCAGAAAGATCACTCACCCCCTTGCAATATGCTGCATAGACAATAAACATTTTCTTGGTATAATAGGCATTATTGCTAAGGTCATTTTAATTTTAATTGTAAAATTAAAATTAATTGTTTGACCTTAGCAATCCTTGTCCTAAAAACCAAGAAAATTATCATATAAACTTTTGCATACCCAACAATAAAAAAATAAATAATATATTCAAGCATTGTAATAATAATGGCAAATAAAATTGCCATAATTTTCTTGGTTTTTGCTATTGCTATTCCATGCTTTGAAGCTGGTATTGCTGAGTTTGATGATTATCTTAGAGCACAAGCTAGTTTAGCCCATGATATTGCTCTTAAGTCTTATATTCCTGATCCTGAAAATATTACATCAGAGATCAATCATCATGTTCATCTGTAATTTCTATAACTCTTCTCTTGTTTTATGATCAAATATATGTTACATTTATTCATATTCAATATCATGTTTTCGTTGTAAGTAGTCACAATCTCGAGCTTATTAATGTATATGCATAGGTTGTTGTCTGATCACGATTGAACGATCTGTATAAATTTATAGTTTTCGTGAATTTGGAAAATCGTTTAATCTTAACAAATGATTGATTGAACTGTATTTAGGTCAATGGAAAAGTTTTTGGCGGAGGAATATTCAAATAACACAAGGAGGGAACTTAGAGGACATGGACGCCGTGGTGGTCGAGAAGGACCTTGCATGGCCAGTAATCCAATCGACAGTTGTTGGAGGTGTAACAGGAATTGGGCAAATGATCGTCAACGGTTAGCCAAATGTGGAAAAGGTTTCGGTAGAAAGGCCGTAGGAGGACTTGGCGGAAAGTTCTACGTTGTCACAGATCCTTCCGACAATGATATGGTTAGCCCTAAACCTGGCACTCTCCGCTACGGTGCCACTCTAAAGGGACCGCTTTGGATTATTTTCGCACATAGCATGGTGATTAGATTGAATCAAGAGTTGATGGTTTCATCCGACAAGACAATCGACGGCCGTGGAGCCGAAGTTCACATTAGGGATGGTGCTGGAATTACAATGCAATTCGTGAACAATGTCATCATTCATGGTCTTCACTTAAAGAACATTAAGGCCAAGAACGGCGGTATGATTAGAGACGCATATGATCACGTTGGACTAAGAACAAGGAGTGATGGTGACGCTCTCTCCGTCTTTGGTTCATCAAACATCTGGATTGATCATATTTCGTTATCCGAATGCGAGGATGGTCTTATTGATGTTATTCAAGGCTCTACCGCAATTACCATCTCAAATTGCCATATGACCAAACATAATGATGTAAGTATAACAGGTCGCACATTATTTTCTCAGACACCGGATTAATTCAGTTTAATTATATATAACTTGTTGTACAAGTAACTAACTTATTTATATATTTCAGGTTATGTTGTTTGGAGCAAGTGATTCATACACAGAAGACAAGATCATGCAAATCACCGTTGCGTTCAACCATTTCGGACAAGGATTGATCCAAAGAATGCCAAGGTGTAGATGGGGATTCTTCCATGTTTTGAACAACGATTACACTCATTGGCTCATGTACGCAATTGGTGGAAGTTCCGGTCCAACAATTCTCAGTCAAGGAAACCGTTTCATCGCTCCTAACAACAATGCTGCAAAGACAGTGACACATAGAGATTACGCAGCAGAAAGTGTTTGGTCGAAATGGCAATGGAGATCAGAAGGTGATGTCTTCATGAATGGTGCAACATTTATTGAATCCGGTGCGCCTATTAAGAATCTTCCATTCAAGAAAGGGTATCTGATGAAACCAAGACATGGATCACAGGCTAATAGGCTTACACGCTATGCTGGTGCACTAAGTTGTAGGGTGGGTAAACCTTGCTAGAAAATATGTTCATTTAAGTATTCATTCATGTACTTAAATTTATTTGAAGAGATAATAAGAACATCATTATTATTGTTAGGAATTTTACTCCTTTTTCAGCTTTGATCTTAAAAAAAATGAAAAGAAATTAGCAAAAGATAAAAGAAAAGTAAAGTAAAAAGTTCTAAGTCATGAGCAGATTAAAACTTATATTATCATTAGCAACAATAACATTCAAATTCACCAGCTCTAAAATAAAGAGATCTTTTCATGGTTGATGTTGTTAAACCATTTCAGGTTCTATATTTTCAATCTCATTTTATTGATATGACTTTTGTTAATGTTCCCTCTTTCTAAAACATGTTTATGATCCTAAGTTTTTAGTGCTAATAACTAAGAGTGTTTAAAAAATTGGTTAACCGAACGAAATACCTAAACTGAAATTAATTGGACTTTAAAAAACTTATACCATATAAACAGGTAATGAACACAATTGATTATTTTTATCCAATTCAATTAACATAATTGAATTTAAAAATCGATTCAAACAATTGTTAATTATGTTTCGTTGCGGAATTATAAATGGTGACGATTTCGGAAATTACGGCGGAGTGAAGCTTTCGATGCATTATGTCGATGTGGCACCGTGGATTGAAGGTTGTGATCACTGAGCTTCTTGAACAAGAGTTATCGGTCTTGATACGATGTCATTAACCGATGTTTGTTATCTTCGATACGGAGGACTTAGGGGGTACTATCGCAACGCGAAAAAAAACCGACAGAAAAAACATAGTCGCTACCGAACGTTATTTATCCCGACGGAGAAAGAAAACGATCGAAGAAACCTCAAAAGAGAGAAGACATGGTCTCGCAGTCAAATCCTAGGTTCGGGAGTCGATTACGCGAGAGGAAGGTATTAGCAACCCCTCGCATCCGTTGTACTCAACGGGATTCACTCTTGTTGTTCTAATCAAAGGGTGCATTTATCTAAAGTCTACTCGCTATACGGAAACGAGAAGGGAGAAAAAACAAAAGGTGACTCTATAGGACCTCGTCGTCCTATGCCTACGTATTTCCTCGTGCAATGGGAAAGTCAGAGTCAACGTAGTTCGGAGGATTACGAGTGATGGGGGATTGTGCTCGCCAAGACTTCGCTGTCTTCTGCCTACGTATCCTCATTCAGACGAGAATGAAGAAATCAGAGTGTTCGTAGTTCGACGGACTACGAGTTGGTCGGTGTCTTTTATGAGCGATACTAAGCTCACGTTCCAGCAGTTGGGGTCGATGCCTGTTTGCGCTAGAACGGAGGTAGCATGATCCTTTCTAAAACGGTTAGAAAAGAAATTCTGAAGGACAAAATGATTTGATTTGTTCAAGAGTTTTAAAGAAGCGATTTGAATTTGTTTGAGATATGCATTACATTAAAGTTTATGACATATGATCGAGTACTTCACGCTAACAATCCAAACGTCTCGCGCACAAAGTACCCTAAGATGAGGTTAGAAATGCATTCACTCATCTTTTCTCATGTGCTTAAAGCTCGTGATGCAATATGCACACCGTCTTTATTGTATTAAGAGAGAGAAAGAAAGAGACTCAAAGGGGCTAAGAAAAATCTAAGCGAAACTCACCTAGATGTTATCATGACAAATGGTCCTATAGTTGAGAATGAGAAAGGAAGGTCTACCTAATGTTATCGAGCAAAAGATTAATTCTAATGTCTAGTTCAACATTAAGTGATCAATATGGGATCCAATCACTTTATGGAATATCCTAAGAGACTATCCAAATCATACAAGCATATTATGCATCAATATAAAAGTCACTATTCATCAAAGGGAATCACAACTTTTCATTCAAGATACTTGAGAAATCATCGAATAATCAATCACCATAATATCACAATTCTAATTGTAACTCTACTAAAAACTCCCAAATTTAAATTTAAATAAAAGACTCCATATTTTAATTAGAAGTTAATCACAAGTGTATAAGATAAACTCTAAATTAACATTCTAACCACAATTTTCTAAAAAAACGGATTTAACTAGTAAGAACAAAATATTAAAAAATTAATCTTAAATACCAATCAAATTTCTAGTTTAGAAAAATAAATGGTAATTTTAACAAAATCAAAATTCTAAAAAAAATTAAGATAAAAAGATTAGCAAAAAAATTAATCTAGTAAGAAAAGTTTTAAGAGATGAGTGAAACATGGGGTGCTTAAGACGAATGAAGGGTTTTTTTTCAATACATCTTGAAGAACCATCGGTAACAAGAAAAAAATTAGGGAAGCTTACCTGGTCGGAGCTAGTCTAAAGGATTTCCCATCTCCGATAGCGTGTAGTTCAGGTATGCTTGCAATTGCTTCTTCTTTCTTCTCTTTTACTGTGTTCTCGCAACGCGAAAAACAATCGGCAAAAAAACAGAGTTGCCACTGAACGTTATTTATCCCGACGTAGGAAAAGAAAAAATTGAAGAAACCTAAAAAAAAGAAGACATGGTCTTGCAACCAAATCTTGGGTTCAGGAGTCGATTACGTGAGAGGAAGGTATTACACCCCTCACATCTGTTGTATTCAACGGGATCCACTCTTGTTGTTCTAATTAAATGGTGTGTTTATCTAAAGTCTACTTGCTATACGGAAACGAGAAGGGAGAAAAAATAAAAGGTAAATAGATAGGACCTCGCCGTCCTATGCTTACGTATTCCCTCGTGCAATGGGAAAGTCAGAGTCAACGTAGTTCAGAGGATTACGACTGATGGGGGATTGTGCTCGCCAAGACTTCGACGACTTGTGCCTACGTATCCTCATTCAGAAGATAATGAAGAAATCAGAGCGTTCGTAGTTCGGCGGACTACAAGTTGGTTGATGTCTTTTATGAGTGATACTAAGCTCACATTCCAACAGTTAGGATCGATGCCTGCTTGCAGTAGAACAGAGGTAGCATGCCCTTTGTAAAACAGTTTGAAAAGAAATCCCGAAGGACAAAATGATTTGATGTGTTCAAGAGTTTTAAAGAAGTGAATTGAATTTGTTTGAGATATGTATTACACTAAAGTCTATGACATAGGATCGAGTACTTTGCGCTAACGATCCAAACGACTCGTGCACAAAGTACCCGAAGATGAGGTTAGAAATACATTTGCTCATATTTTTCCATGTGCTTAAGGCTCGTGACGCACTATGCACATCGTCTTTATTAAGTATTTTATTTGTATTAAGAGAGAGAAAGAAAGAGACTCAAAGGGGCGAAGAAAAATCTAAGGGAAACTCACCTAGATGTTATCATGTCAAATGGTCCTATAGTTGAAGATGAGAAAAGAAGGTCTACCTAATGCTATCATGCAAAGGATTAATACTAATGTCTAATTCAACATTAAGTGATCAAGATGGGATCTAATCACTTTATAGAATATCCTAAGGGACTGTCCAAATCATACAAGCATATCATGCATCAGTATCAAAGTCACTATTCATCATAGGGAATCACAACTTTTCATTCAAGGTACTTGAGAAATCATCGAATAATAAATCACCATAATATCACAATCCTAATTGTAACTCTACTAAAAACTCCCAAATTAAAATTTAAATAAAAGATTCCATATTTTAATTAGAAGTTAATCACAAGTCTACAAGATAATCTCTAAATAAACATTCTAATTACAATTTTCTAAAAAAACGAATTTAACTAGTAAGAACAAAATATTAAAAAATTAATCTTAAATACGAATCAAATTTCTAGTTTAGAAAAATATATGGTAATTTTACCAAAATCAAATTCTAAAAAAAATTAAGAAAAAAAGATTAGCAAAACAAATAATCTAGTAAGAAAAGTTTTAAGAGATGAGTGAAACATAGGGTGCTTAAGGGAAATGAAGGGTTTTTGTTCAATACATCATGAAGAACCATTCGGTAACAAGAAAAAAATGAGGGAAGCTTACCTGGTCGGAGCTATTCTGAAGGATTTCCCATCTCTGATAGCGTGTAGTTCAGGTTTGCTTGCAATTGCTTCTTCTTTCTACTCTTTTACTCTATTCTCGCCTTCCTTCAATTTATGTATACTGTTTCCTCGTTTTTGATAGTCTGTGTTATTCTCTTTTTATAGCCATCTTGAAATTTGGTATTGAATTGCTACTTGAATGCTGATAATTGTGTTACAATCTTTTGTTCTGGAAAGATATCAAATCTGGCTGGGACATGTTTGGAACTTATTTGGAAAGAATTCAAATTTGTCTGGGACATGTTTGGAACTTATTTGGAAAGAGTTCAAATCTGTCTGGGACATGTTTGAAACTTGTTTTTGAAAGAATTAAAGTTTGTCTTGTCATGTTTAGAACTTGTTTTATTAAAAGTGGATATTGATGTGAGTTTGGATAAATGGTTAGAAAAATGGATTTTGGAATTGGTTTATGGATATGGTTAGGAAATGGATTATGAAATGAATATTTAATATGGATTTGAATACGGGAAAATGGTTCTAGTAGGAACATGGTTATGGAAAAAATGGATAAGAATTTTGAAATATGGAAAATGTATAATGAAGAATGTAAAATTGGTAACGGATATCTGGATATTGGTTTTGGTTTGGATATGAAAGGTGGATAATGGTTGATGAACTTGAATGAACCCTCCGCCAATATTTTTCATTGATGCACGCCTTAACTGAAAAAAAATCCAAAAACCAAATTGGAACCTTTTACACTAAAGCAATTGTCGTTTGAAAAAATCTTGAACGTTTCCATAATTTCTCTGAATTTCTGATTAACATGAAATAAGTCCTGAGAGTTTGAAATTGTTGATCTTTGAGAAAATAAATTCACAAATGAACACAATTTAGACTGATGGACCATGATGAACCTGATTTTAACCCAAGCTTCTCACAAATCACTGCTTGATAACAGTTGAAGTGAACTCTTGATGGTTTGACCAAGATTAGGTCAAACTTCCATCTAATCTTGATCATGACTGAATAACCACACTTGACTTTAAAACAAAATTCATGCCCTTGAGTGCA